AATAGTAATATATCTATTTGGTATATTTATGTACGTTATAGTATACTACTATGTAAAATATTTTATAGTAATATTAAATGCTAATATTTTATTTTATACTAATATACTGTTTTAATCTATATGTCATAAATATTTACAGTAATATCTTATTTTGATATAGACCATGTGGGTATCATAGAGGACTGAGTGTGTTTCTGAAAGGAATGAACCGCACCTCTATGCAGCAAACGTACCATGAGTACACCACAACGGTACCCAGTACGTATCAAGACTAACCTCGGTGGAGCAGTGACGAGGAACAATCAAGACACCTACTAAAATAATAACCAGTACAAGTATGAATATAAAACTAACATAGAACAATATAAAGCTAAATATGGTAAGAATGATTCTACAATACTTGCAATAATAACTATAACAACAATTAACAACAAGGAGCACCAGGTAGTAACATCGTAAAATAAGTAGAATATAGTTGAAGTCTGGTGAAACCAAATAAGGGAAAACATGTAACAACCCAATAAAACAACCGCTTTTACACAAGGTTAATACAAGAGTTTCACCGAGGTACCACACCTCATAATCACAAATTACGGGTCCCAAAATACGAATCCTAATCACTTGGCATCTTGTGCCCATGTTACAAATCACAACCGCACGGAGAACTCACGTGTTGCACGGTCTACTCATGTGCCAATACAATTAATACCTCATATCTACACGGACAACTCATGTGCTAAGAGTATGACAATCATATCCGCATGGACAGCGCACATGCCAATAGCAGAAATGTCTCATATCCGCACGGACAGCTAACGTGTCAATAGTACAACTCACGCACAGAAGGCAGGTATACAAGATTACACGTAAATGATCAATAAACATCAAAATTCATCTTCTTGGACTGATATGAGTGGCTAACTACGATGTATTCTTGTGCAAGTGTTCTATCACAACTCGAGTCAACAAGTAAGATCAGAGACAACGAATGGTACATAGAAAACAACACAACAAAACGTAAAATGCTTGACACCACTACACAAATATTATTAACAACAATGCCCCCATGCCATCACAAGCCGTCACAAATCATCCCCGACATAGCCCCCCCATCTCGCCGCGTGCGCAACAATAAAATAAATGCCCGCCTTGTCTAGACACATGCACAAACCCATATATATATAGCCCGCCTTGTCACTCCACATGTACAAATATCAATAATAACAATAGCACGGATAACTCACATGCGAACACCCCGACAATCCTCTCAATAATATCATGTGTGCGAAAAACATAACAACATAATATAACAACTCTACCACATGTGCCCATATGCCACAATATTTCCTCAAAACAATTCCAATACCATAACCACACATAACCCTTGGCTCAACAATACTGAGTATAACAAAAACAACGACAGCACGGGAGTTCGACAAGTAAACCAACACAAGAATTACTAAACACAAAGAATGGAAGAACAAGCTCACAACGAAAGACATAACAAGCAATAATGGTTTCAAACAAGAATAACTCAACAATGAGAGGGATAGTTGTAGCAACGATATCAAATAAGAGTAACTCAACAATATGAGATATAACATGTAACAACGACCTCAGATAAGGATAATCAACAATAGAAGAGATAACAATAACTTCAATTAAGGATAATCAACTACAGAAGAGATAATAATAACTTAAATTAATGATAATCAACTACGGAAGAGATAACACGGCAATAAAAGAGGCAACAACTTCAATTAAGGCACATAGGGTATATTTGGAAAATAAAGGGTAGAACATGAACCAATCAACTTCAAATAAGATATGTAGGATAAATTTAGAAATGGAGGATATAACATAAGACAATTTTATTTTAATGTACATAAGAACCTAAGAGTCTAAACCGGTTAATTTTTACGTATAAGCCGTGTATACGTCTTTCACATAGTTCAAATAGTGCAAACAACCAATCCCTACGGGGTAGTCCCCCCCCCCCCCCCACAACGTTAGGAAACATACTTACCTCAAAAGACCTTAATCAATACTCAAAAATAGCTTTTCCTTTACAATTCACCTCCGCTTGGCACAAATTTAACCATAATCGACTTAATAATATCAAATAATGTAAGAGAAATTAATTCCAATAAATAAAGCTATAATCTTTGGATAATTCCTCAAAAGTCAACAAAAGTCAACCCCGAACTCGCCCGGTCAAAACCCGGGTCTAAGGCTACATTCCAACTACTCATAACCTCACGAGTCTATATATGTATTTTGTTTCAAAATCGAGTCCAAATTGACTCTCAAAACTCGAATTCTCATTTTTTAAAATATAGACAAAGTTTCTCAAAACACTTTGATTCTCATAATTTTAATGTTAAAACTCACATATAATCATGTCAAAAAGTTGGAAATTGAACAAAATCACTTACCCAATGATTGTAGATGAAAATACCTCTTCAAAATTGCCTCATACCGAGTCTAGGGTTCAAAGATGTAAAAATGAGACTAAAAATCTCGTCCTCAGCTTTTTGTCCAGGCGCAGGTGTCACAAATACGACCTAATGCGAACCCCGCAAATGCTAGAAAATTATCGCAAAAACAAACCAATCACACATCTGCTATCATCACAAATGAAAAAGGAAGTTTGTAATTGCGAATAGTGGACCATCGCAAAGCGATCAAGATGATCACAAATGCGATCACTGTTAAGCCCAGACCCCTTCACAAATGCAAACATAGGGTACAAATGCGAACCTAGAAGACTCAAGCCAAATATCGCAAATGCGAGACCTGAGGCATCTGTGCAAAACCAACATAACTCAAACTCTATCAAATACTGTGCAACGTGTTCGAAACTCACTCGAGCCTTCAGGGACTCTAAATAAAAAATCAACACAAGTATAAAAACATAACACGAACTCGATCTCATGATCAAATCATCAAAATAACATCTAAAACGATGAATCAGACCTCCAAAATACATGAAATTAACATGAAACTCAAGAAATTCAAAAAACATAACCAAGCGTCCAATCCTATCCAATTAACTCGAAATGACACCAAACTTTGCGGGCAAGTTTCAAATGACAAAATAGACCTATTCCAAGTCCCGAAATAGAAATCCAAACACGATAGCTATGAAGTTAACCTACAGTCAAACTTATCAAAATTCTAAGCCGTTAAATTGCCAACTTTCGACAAAACAACACAAATCAACCTACGGACCTCTGAATTCGATTTCGGGTATACGCCCAAATCCAAAATCACGATAAGAACCTATCGGAGCCATCAAAACACGCTACGGGGTCGTTTTCACAAAAGTCAAACCTCGGTCAATATTTTCAACTTAAGCTTCTAAAGTGAGAATCACTCATCCGAATTCATCCCGAAATATCCGAAAATCAAATCCAATCGTGCATACGAGTCATAATATACAGTATGAACCCACTAAAAACCTCGAACCACTGGACCGATCTCTAAAGCTCAAAACGACCGGTCTGGTCATTACAATACCATTTTGATATACAGTTTATTCCAATAGTATACTATTGCAATATACTATATAATGCAACAATATACTATTACAATTTGGTCCTTTTAGAACTTTTTGAAATTTTCGTTGAGTTATTTTTTAATTTACAACAGAGTTCTCATGTTCTTTTAATTTTTTTCTTAAACCAAAATATTTAGTTTGAAATATTTGATTGGAGGTTGTGGCTAAAGTTTGTGTCAATTTGGTAAAAATTATGGAGTAAATTTTAAAATTTAGGTTGAAATTGAGTGAAACTAGTGAAGAAGTCTAATTTGTACTATATACTAAAATCGCATACCCTATACCATTTTGGTATATAATATTTAATTCAATAGTGTATAATTTATTACAACAGTATATTGTATAATGTAACAATATAGTTAAATTTGGTATTTTTTTAACTTTCAAAAAAATTGCAATGGGTCCTTTTCTAATTTTGTAACAGAGTTATCGATATCATATACCCTATCATTATATGATTTAGGCAAAAAAAAAAAAAAAACTGAAAAGGAGAAAAAAGAAAAAGAGAGAGAAGAAAACGAGAAAAAATAATGAAAAAAGAAAAGAAATAGAGAAATAAAAAAGAAAAGAAGAAAAAAGAGGAAATTACTCATAAAAGCTATCATAGGTAGTAAATGTAATTAATTTGATGAGTAGAAAAATAAATTGGTAAGCAAATTAATAGGCTGTTTGGCCAAGCTTCTCCAATCCTAGAAGCAAAAAAAGTAATTTTTTTTCAAAGTTGAAGTGTTTGGCCAAGCTTTTGGAAGAAAAAAAGTTCTTTTGAGGAGAGGAAGACGCAGTTTTGGAGAAGTAGAAAAAAATAGCTTATCTCCAAAAGCACTTTTTTTGAAAAGCAACTTTGGGAGAAATACGCTTAGATGTAGTGTTTAAAAGTTTGGTCAAACGCTAATTACTGATTAGAAGTGCTTTTTTTCAATTATTAGCAAAACAAAAACTACTTATCGCCAAAAGTATTTTTACTTCTCAAAAAGCTATAAATAATTTTATTTTTATGGGTATGTGTCTTCTCTAATAGCTTATTTGGATGGTTGTTACGTATGTATTGATATTATTACTTTAAATACGATGTATGTATTGATTGTTACTTAAATTTTTTATTGTATCGTATCGTTAAATCTATCGTTACGTAACGGCGAAATGTGCCACTTTATGTAACGACTAGTTTGGTGTGGTCGCATTATTACCTTGTCTTTTTCTTTCATCTCACCCTTCATTATTATTAAATAATTTTATTTTATCATTTACTTTATTTTTTATATAATATTTTTATCATGTATCATAATTTTTCTTTATAATATTACAAATTTATTCTTTATATTATTGCTGCGTGATATAACAATATAACCTATCCAAACAATATATTGATAAAACATACAATGCAATATAATAAGATACATATAATATCAACAATGCAAATGTAACTTGTAATAGAGTAGTTTATAGGTGCCCGCATGTCCAACTTGAAACATTAGAAAACACACTCTAAAACCCTAACCCTAAAGCCAAAACCCCTGTATGTCATCAATGGTGAATCCCAGTCCTTAAATCCAATCCTATACCCGAAAACGAAGAAGGAAGAAAGCCCCATTTTTTTCTTAATCTCTAAAGGGGCATCTACCAATGGAGACGGATTCATCTGACGAAGATATCTCCAAGAAGGCCGAGGATACGTTACGCAAAGTCACAAGTGGTCCGTTGCCATCTACCATTGGAAAGCTGTCTGGCTCTTCAAGAGGAATACCCACCGATAGAGACTTTCATTTCTACAACAATTTCAGCGAATTCAGGACCCCCATTTCAGAAATAGACAAGAAATCCAAGGAAATCTTGGAGAGAGTCGGGGCATTGTCGCAATTATGGGGAAAACCCATGTCGTTTCCGGGGGAGGATCCGGATGACGAGGAAACTGGAGATTGGCTGGTCAACATAAACGACGACGTGTTTGAGAAACTGGCATCATCCTTGGATGACTTTAGGTTGTTGAGAGAGAAAGAAGAGGAGAGTGGCGTGAAGAATATGGAGGACGGGTTTCAATTGGTGAGTCGGAAGAAGACTAGGAAAGTAGAACATAATAGTAATGTAATTAGTGTGGAGAAGGAGAAGGGGGTAAAAGTGGCTACGAAAGTGAAGCCAAAGATTCCGTTTCATATACCAAGCATCCCGAGGCCGCAGGACGAGTATAAAATTATTGTTAACAACAAAAACCAGCCTTTTCAGCATGTTTGGTTGCAGAGGACTGACGATGGTTCCAGGTTTATGCATCCTCTGGTTAGTTCTCCTTTTGAATTTATTTATCTTTCTTCCACATTAATTAATGGTATAATTCCTCATTGTTTTCTTGGCCAATCGGGTCCCTTACAGATCTCTTGAAATCTTTGTTGAGGTATTTTGTACATAGAAAATGCATTGTATGTTTGTAGAGCTCTCTTGTTTAGTAAGACTTGATGGACCTCGTTTCTAGTTTGAGAAATTTGAGAACCTCTAAGGCAAGACTAAGTGATGCTGATTTTTAGCAACTTTGGTTTCTGAGGGCAATTTTTGTCTGTCAATAAAAAAGCAAATAAAATTAGAAAAATTCTTACAGAATAGTAATAACTATTAAACTTTACTTTTGAAGTAGATTATCTATTTGCTTTTGTTTGAAGCTAAAATAAATAAAGAGTGTCACATTTTTGTTACTTAAATTTTCCATCAATATTTTGATAAATACAATAATATTAAGTGTCCAATTGGAACAAAACTTTAACTTTTGGATGATAGCATTGTTTTTAACGTCCTAATAACAATAAGGGATGTTTGTCCAAGGAAATGTTTAGCTAGAATATAGTTCTTATATAGTTTGTCAAACTAGAGGAAGGTCGTTTAGTTTTGATAAACAAAAGTGGACATCTAAATATCACCTAATGCTTTTAATGGTGTAGTGTAGTATTCCATGGCGTGAGTTCGCGTTATGTGCTGCAAGATTGGTGTCCTAGTACGTGTTCATTTTACCAATGTGTGCTCCTACTCCAAAGTTTAAGCAAAATTTTTCTCCATCTTCTTTAGTAGTTGATGTAATCTCAAATAAATAACTAAACAAAGATTTGCGTGCTAATTTCTCTAGCCATGCAATGCAGGAAAAGTTTGCTCCCTCAGACTTTGTTGAGAGTGCTGGCATCATTGAGCCTGTCAAACCTCCTCCATTGGAGATTACCCCATTCAAGTTTGTGGAAGAGGTCAAAGATCTGAAGCAGTTAGCAGCCAAGTTACGTGCTGTGGATGAGTTTGCGGTAGACTTCTGACTATAGTTTCTTATTTGTGTTGGTTTTTGAGGATGCTATATGTTTAGATTTGATCTACTTAGAAAATGCGTATTGTTTGCCTAATTTTAGCATTATTTTGTACTAGCAAGTATGAGACATTTGCTATGCTCGTGCATAGCTGATTGTAGTATTAACCTAAATTATTTTCTAGAGATGGCAAAAAGTTACATTCAGTATGCGTAATCTGCCTCTTGAAGATTGAAGTCTCAAAAGCTATTTTTGGATGAGATGTTATGTTGATTTTGGTATTATCTCATAGCTTATTACCTTGCAAATTTCTTCTTACAATTTAGTGCAAAGCCCCCATGCAGCAATGCATCTACCTATATGCATAGCTTGACTCGCCCTTTGACACAGAGAAGAAACTAAAGTTTCTGATTGTTGTTAGATAGAAGAAGACAAATGTTTCAGAATATAAATCTTAAAATTTTAGGTCAGTTGGAATATGCTGCTTTGTCTGTTATTACTAAATGCATGCTGACTTTGATGATCTTGCTAGATTTGGTTGGCATGTAATGTATCTAAGAAAAGTCCAATTAAGATTAAAAGTTTAAATTACTCAGAGGTGCAATAAGTCTGTGGATTGGTGAGAAAAAAAGTCTGTAGAAACTATGCTGCTGATATTTTTAAAAATAGCCTGGAAAAATATGCTAGACATAATTTGGTATTGCATTACATTGTAGATAAGTTTTCTATCAAGTTGATAACTTTTGGTAAAAAAAAGTACTTGGGAAGTCGGTCATGTGATATTTGTTAGATCTGTTCTATTATCAGGATAGCCTGAAATACGATTTTTGTTACAAAGTTGGTAGAGAAATTATGTGTGTGGAGAGGAAAAACCTTTTAGAATTGTGCGTGTGTGGGTGGGGTGGGGGGTGGGGGTGGGGGTGGGGGGGGTACAAAACAAACAAGTATGAGACTTATATAAATATTTTTGTCTAATGACAGTAGTGTTCGGGCTAACTTGCGCGCACCTTGATAATCCACCAGGTGTGAATGTCATAAATTAATTGTAGGTGGCTATCTTACATTGATTCTTTTTAAGAAGGAATTTTATAATTTGATTCTAGAAAGGAAACATCTATTATCTTTGAATTTTTATTGCACGGTCCAGGGCTTTACGGATGTTACAAAACTATCCTAAAGTTGGAATTTGCAGAACATGCTATAAGTATGAGAAATGGAGAAAATAAAGACATGCAAAGTTTTAATGTTTTATTGGGTGTTTGTTCTGTATTTTGTATAAGTATCGGACCTCCATGGTGCCCCTCCTGTGCAATTTTCCTTTCTATAAGACAATGAAATACAACATGAAGACACAGACAATCTTTTTTTTTTTTGCAACTCTAACTACTCATTTCAGCAGCAAATACAGATGAAAGCAAGCTTCTGAAACTCTCTATATGATTTCTGTTGTCTTCTCCTGCATGACATCCTTTGTAGTCACGGGTTCTTGGAAAAGCTGTTATGGTAATCTGGGTTTAAGTACTTCATTCTTGTAAGAGCTGTGTGAGTGTTTGCTGTATGAACTTCTTACCTTCCACTTCCAGCACACAGATGGGGAAGGAGGATAATAATACTATGAAGCAAGAATGATTAGTTTAGCATTTATTACTGTCTGTCTGAACCAATATTACATGTTTCCAAGGCCTGATGTTAATTCTTATGATCTGTCTTTGTTTAGGTTGATTTGGAGCACAATCAATATAGATCTTTTCAAGGATTGACATGCTTGATGCAAATATCCACTAGAACTGAAGATTTTGTTGTTGACACTCTGAAGCTTCGCGTTCATATTGGCCCATATCTAAGAGATGTTTTTAAGGACCACATGAAGAAAAAGGTAATTTTCTGAATCTTATGTCATTTCTGTATTTGACAAAGCATTATTGTGACAGCACTTTACTTACTAGGTGATGCATGGTGCTGATCGAGATATTGTGTGGCTTCAACGTGACTTCGGCATATACGTCTGCAATATGTTCGACACTGGGCAGGTTTTTACCTTAACTGTTTTTGAGCCTTGATCTAGAGATAATTTGAACACACACACACACACACATGTTATATTATATTCATATTATGTATATATATAAATATGTCACTATTATTTTACCTATTCTTCTCTTCTGTGAGTTTCTTGTGATTATGGACTACAGAAAAGTTTGTTTTCTGGGGGGGGGGGGGGGGGTTCACTGCTATGCAGGGATAAACCGCACATGAGCCAGCTATAACTGTTTGATGGTAGCAGCCTTTGTTTCTTTTTATGACCCACAGAACTCACTTTCCTCCTTGTTGGCATAGTCAGCTTAATGCAAAGTCCCTAGAATAAATGACAGCCCAAAAAGATGCAGGAGGTTTTGCATTTGTGTTTTAAGTAATGTTGTTGTAAATGTTGAATGTGAAATAGTTGTTCTTGTGCTAATTCAAGATTCCCCATACATACATTCTTACAGAAGACATTACTAAGTAAATGAAAACTGAGATATGATGAAATGGTAACTGATTATTTGTTCGACCTGTTCTATGTAAAAAGAACTTGGCTAATATTTTCAAGTGTTCTTTGGAGTGTCCTGAGGGGGATGAGGTGGTGGGAGATGGTCTGTGCATCTTCTATGAAATATGCAGGCATCAATTTTGTTGTGTTTACTTTTGTTTTATATTGTTCGTTGATTGGGGCTGAATGAATAGACGCTAGCATACCCATGATGGAACATTTTCATTGGATTCATGAGGATATTAAAGTTGTACGTTATTACATATTACTATATTATATGCTAAGTTGCTCAGACACGGGTGTGGATTTAGAGGTCGGATCCTTTGAAATGTTAATTCTAAAATTCGGGGATGTGGATCCTAATACGGATACGTATGCGGGGATCCAACTATAAATAATTCAAAAAAATAAAAATATAACAATACCTCTAAATTATGAGAAATTTTGTGGAATACTTACGTATAGCTTGTAAAATGTAGAATTTTTTTTGTTCTCAAGTTGTAGATAAGTAAATGATTGATTTTCTAGATAAGGTATGCTATTTTCTTCAAATTTACCCTAGTTTTGGTTCTGATTTCGAGAATCAAATTGTATCTCGTCTCGAATTTTTTCATTTGTCATGGTTAAAGTATCCAAAATTGTTTGACCACATCTGGTATGGATCCCATACTCACACCCATACTAGTGTCTTGTTGACACGGGTGCGGCACCTGAATTGCCGTGTCAGAGCAACTTAAATTATACGGAAAAGGACCAGATCTGTCCCTTTACTATCAGATATCAGTTATCAGTAACCTCCCTTATACTTTCCTTAACTATCCACCCCTACCGTTATCTATTTTAATATTTTGGCCCCCCAACTAACGGACCTTTTTAGTAAGACATGTGGCACGATCTGAAATAACCTAACCATCTACCCACTTACCCTACCCAATCAACCCGACCCGATAGCCCCAGTTCAGTAGCACGAAGAGAGGTCCAACAATGTCAATCGCCTCCCCCTTCTCTGCTTCCACTGGCGCCTCCAACTAGCCCCAAATTTCACTTTAACAAATTTCACCACAAGTTGCAACGCAGAGTTTAGCCATTCACAATCATTTTTAGGTCCTAAGATATAGAGCAATAACCAACGATTTCCTAAATCTATTTCAATCAATATGATCTCCTAGTTATTTATTTTCTGAGCTATAATAACCTTTCAGTTCTAATTGCTCTTTCCCCGTTATCCTTTTTTTTCCATTGCCACCACCTCGTCGTGACCTACTCTCCCCTCGTGTACAGACATGACAAAAGTTTAACCACACAATTTCCATAAGCCATGGTTTACCACCGCCTTCCATGGAAAATAGAGAATTCACAAAAAAATGAGCCAAAATTCCATCTTAGGGGAAAAAAGATAGAAAAAGAAAAAAAACACAATCATGGGAAACCATACAACTACAAAGGAATCTTTTATTGAGGGAGGAGGATGGGGATGTGGTGGTGGAAAATTTTGTTTTACCTCACTCTCTCGAGTCTAATGAAGTCTTGTAGTCTGCTTGTACTGGTTATGCTTTTACATTTGCTACCAAAAAAGAAACAAAAAAATACTCATGCGGGCAGTTGGATGTTTAAGTTTCAATCTCAAATTTTTTCCTCTATAGAATACATTGCCTTAATTTGCTTGTGCTGAAATTTGTTAAAGTGGAATTTGGGGGTAGTTGGAGGCGCTGGCTGAATCAGAGAAGAGGGAGGCGATTGACGCTGTTGGACCTCTCTTGGTGTTGCTGAATTGGGGCTATTGGATCGGGTAAATGGGTCGATGGTTGGGTTGTTTCAGATTGTGCCATGTGTCTTACTAAAAGGGTCCGTTAGTTGTAGGGGCAAAAATATTAAAATGGGCAACGGTAGGGGTAGATAGTGAAGGAAAGTATAACAGAGGTTACTGATAACTAATTTCCGATAGTAAAGGGACATATTTAGCCCTTTTCCGTAGATTATATGTACTGGGATTGGCTTTATTGATTAATAAAGTGTTAATATTTGGCTTTGGAAATACAGAACAATAGCTTGTATGCAGAAAGACTAAAGAAGCAGTTTTCTACTCAAGGAGTAAGAAATCAAGATATGAAGAAACTAAAGCACTGACGATTTTCAGCAAAATGAAAGGTGTATTACCATGATTTGTCACTCGATACATATAGGAAAATGTTCTGCTAATCAGTGTATTTTTGAAGATTTTAGGGTTTACGTCCCTCCGAAGTCATACCTCCTTGTCATTTTTTCTCCTTTGTTGGTTTAGCACTTGTAGCTAGCAAAAGCATGTTCGCAGGTCTGCTTTATGCTCTTGTCCTGCTCCTTTTTAACAATGAGATTGGGTTGTCATGAATCCTCATTTGTTTATTTTTGGGTATAGTAATATTGATGTTTTCTAAATCCTTAGGCCTCAAGGGTTTTGAAACTGGAAAGAAACAGCTTGGAGTATCTGCTACAACATTTTTGTGGAGTTACGGCAAACAAAGAGTATGGTCTTCCTGTAATTACTACTTTTTTAATCATATCCTGTATATCATCCTCCAATTATCAGATGAAAAACAAAAAGAAATCTCATCACCCCTGCCTTCTGTAAAGATAAATGGATTTTTTTCTAAGATATCAAATAATGGATGATGGAATGCCAACAAATAAATGGATTTTTTTCTAAGATGTCAAATAATGGATGATGGAATGCCAAAAGCGATAATGCTATTGTTTTCCTCATATATTTTTTGCAGGTATCAGAATGCAGATTGGAGATTACGCCCGCTCCCTGTAGAGATGATGAGGTATGACATGTCTCATTCTCTAGTTTCCTTAAGATTGCTTCATATTATATTTGTGAATGTTTATCTTTTATACACACACACACCCCCTCCGTTCCAATTTTCGTGACGTAGTTTGACTCGTGTGGAGTTTAAGATTAAAAAAGAAGGTTTTTGAAACTTGTGGTGTTAAAGTTTAAAGGGTAAAAGCTTTGTGGGGTCATAACATTTGTGTGACTATAAAACCTTCTCATTAAGGGTAAAATAGAAAGTTTAAAGATAAATTGTTTCCAACTATAGAAATTTGTCTTTCTTTCTGGAGCGGTCTAATAAGAAAAGTGTGTCACAATTAAAGCTGAGGAAATAGTTATGAATGTTGCATATTTTGTTAGTTTGAGGTGTTAAATTTTTTTGGGCATCTGATGGACCTTTTCTTCCCCGTACGTGCAGAGTAAATATGATAATGGTCTTTCTTCTTATCTTTAATGTAGATAACTTTGGATTAATATCACTATGTGAGATACTTGTTACCGGTGTGAACCATCTTTGTTTAAAATCTACTGTACTTATAGGTACAATTCTTAAGAAAAGGTACTCATTAATATCTAGTGTAGTTCTACTTATTAGAAAGAAACTTATTGTGGATTTATGATGTACCACAAAATGACGGTTGGACATTTTAATATCGGGCTTACTTATGACCGAGGCGACTTTAGATAATTCTAGATATAAATGCGACTATGTAGCTTCATGTCACTTTGATGGGGAAATAAGGAGAATAAACTTCCATAGATATGTTTTCTAGTTAGGTGCCAATCCTTATTCTTAGGGACTTAATGATGGTGATTCAGATGATCTTCCAGATTACTGATTCATTTGACTGCTCCTTCTCTGTGCATGATTGCTTCTTCCTCTAATACTATATTTTGGACTCTGGAGTATGACATATTTTCGGTGGATTATCTCTCTTTTCTATGACATATTTTTGGTGGATTATCTCTCTTTTCTTCCCTCGTCTTGCATAAGACTCTCATACTTTTTCCTTTTTGAATTGCTTAGAGGCTTTCTTTGGTCTTTTTCTTGTAGTAGATACAAGAGAAAAACAAACAACAGTTAGTGGTGTGAGCCTAATAAGATTAGTGTCACCTGTTCCATCTAAGCCGCTCAGTGAGATTCATTTTCAAATTCTTACTGTTTGCTTTACATCAAAAAGCTTTAGTGACTGCCTTCATAAAAAAAAAGGAAGCTTTAGTGACTGCCTTCATCAAATAAAGAAGCTTTAGTGACTGCAGTTGGATTTTTTGTACACTACATTACTTTGGACTTTGAGGAAGCTTCTTGTTAAGTATGCGATATTCTTGAAGTTCTTTTAAGATATTCTGTTTGGTGAAGTGCTAGGCTTTTCCTAGAGTGCCTAAATCAATAGTTGTCTTCATTTTGGAGGGGGATGAGGGGTGGGGTATTGTTGTATTGCACTGATATAGTGCTATAGATCCTTTTAATGAGATATTATCGACTGTTTAAATCATTCTGGGTCTGCGTTAATCTGGTGTTTTTAAACTACTTTTTGGTGACTATCATTTTCTACTCAATCAATCAGGACTGTGTGAATATGTGTTGGTGTTTTTAAATGGAACATTTCCTATATTTTGTAGTGATTTTCGGGCTATGCTTAATGTTCTTTGTTTATTACCCATAAGCATACATGTTATTTGGTTAATTATGGATTCTTGTCCTTATTACTCAATTCGCGCATATACTGTAGATATGCTAGAGAAGATACACACTATCTCTTGTACATTTATGACATTATGAGGATGGAATTGCTCTCTTCGTCTGCCGACAATGAATCTCCTGATGCTTCTCTAATAGAGGTGAATATCTGTGTTTTTGTTTCCCATGTTGCTCCCGGCATCATATTTTTCCTTCTTTCCTTGTAAAATAAGCATCTTGTAGTGTTTAGAAATCATTTATATGTCATGCTAGGCTTAACCTTTTTTCTTTTTCTTTTTAATACTCCCTGTTTTCCAATTTATATGACACTATTACTATTTGAAGAGTCAAACAAGATTTTCTTTGACTCTAACTTCTCACATATTTTGAAAATAATTGTGATTCTAAATATTATAAATGATAAGTACTTTTCAACTAGTTGCTAATTATGTACATATTATTTTAAAAAGATTAAAAAACTGATGCTCAAATTGAGACCAAGAAATGAAGGTTTGACTCTCGGAGTACCTTCATTATTTAAATTGGAGAGTAATAATTATTGGGAAACATGTTGGCTAGACTTGCAGAAACTCGCACGAGCTACTGTTTCATGTTCTTTCAACTTCCTATCAAATTGATGGAAGTTATATATCTTAAATGTGTCTTACAAGTTAGCAGTGGCGAAGCCAGAAATATTTTCAAGGGTGTTCAGACGTGAAAGAAGTAAATAAAGTTTTCTAACAAAGGGTGTTCAATATATGTTTTATACATCTAAAATCAATATTTTACTTATACATACTGTGTAATTTTTCATAACATTTCGGCAAAGGGTGGTCAGTTGACCACCCTTTGCAAAAGGTGGCCTCACCGCTGCAAGTTAGTATAATTTTATCACTCAGAGAGTTTAATGACCAGGTAATCTATTTGTTTTTCTTCTGTTTGTCTAAGATCTGCTGTTGCATGCAGGTGTACAAGCGCAGTTATGATATATGCATGCAGCTGTATGAAAAAGAACTTTTGACTGATAGCTCATATCAACACATATATGGGTATGGTTTTCACACAGTTATTTTCAATATTCACGGACTATGAAGTATTGTTCTACATTAACATTCTCCCATTTTCCATGGACTGAAGAGATTTTTTTAACTATTGATTTGATAATCTCTCATTCTGCATCTCTTTCATTGTTTTTGTTTTTGTTTTGACATTTACGGCAAACTCTTTTAAATGCAACTGCAGATTACAGGGAGCTGGATTCAATGCTCAGCAGCTTGCAATTGTTGCTGTGAGTTTTTGCCTACCCTCTGGTCGTATTATTTTTTGATTGTGGGCTGGTGGTACTAGTCAGTTCTTGGCATTTCTTTTGACCCAACATCTGGAAATTTCAGGGGCTATATGAGTGGAGAGATGTTATTGCCCGAGCAGAAGATGAGAGTACTGGCTATGTTTTGCCGAACAAAGAACTTCTTGAAATTGGTATGTTTAAAGAGAAGTTCTCTTCCTATGTACTGGTGCTTATAGGCTGCAGATGTTCTAAACATAGTACTTTGTTGCAAAAGCTAAGCAGATGCCTCTTACCACAAACAAATTAAAGCGATCGATGAAATCAAAGCACCCATATGTTGAGCGTAATCTTGGTGCTGTTGTCAGCATCATTAGGCAGTCTGTTCAAAATTCGGCTGCATATGAAGCAGCTGTGGAACTTCTGAAAGAAAGGCGCTTAGAATTAGTAAGTAATGAGTTGACACATTTTGTTTGTCTAATTCATCTTGGCCAAATTCTTTTCCCTCTCTTTTTGGTTAGGCACCAAGAATGAAAAAGAAAGGAACCAGTTTCTCTAAAGCAGATGACACAACCTTGCTTCGTGTGATTTTCTGGATTTATCGAAGCAATAATGCCAAAATCGTTTTCTTAATCCTTACTTTGCACGTAAAAGGGTGGATTCTGTGCCAGTGACTCGCAGATGATTTACTTTGTTTCTCTGCATGTTAGATTATATGATATTCTAGGTAGTGTCTATTATTTAGTAAACCATCTTAATTTTGGAACGGTCCTTGTATTTTCAAAACACAACCAATTATTATTCGTCCTAAGTGTGGTCCACATTTTGTGCAGCCAGCTGAAGAAGACATTGTGGCTACTGAGGGCGCTGAAATGTTAGTTGAAACTTCTGAGCCACTGAAAGCAGCAACAGGGACAGAAACTTCAAATGTTTGTAGTTCACCTGAAAGTGCTGTCACCAAAGTTGGTTTTAATGGACCTGGTGACACCTCTGAACATCGTAGTGAACATGGTGGTTTAAGAGCTACTTCTTCAGGACAGGTTGACGAACACTTGTTTGAGTCGGTTTCCATCCTTCTAGAGCGCTAGATTCTTTCTTCGCATGGTGACTTACATAGATGCTTCTTATTTTAGGTGGAAGTAACTATTCAGGCAATTAAGAAACCCAGCCGTGGTCTTGGGATGTTACTAGGGTGTGCAGCAAAGAGGAAGCTGCACCCTGATAAAAAAGTATCCTCTGCAACCTTGAATTATGATTTATCTGTTTCTTATTAAGTAGCCTACACTATTGCATTGTCATATACTAAGCCTCGGAAGTCCAAATTGCTGTAATTAGTTGGACGCACTTCATGTACTTATTTCCTCTATAGCTCAGTTCAATTATATTGATGCTTCCCCCGAATTGTTTAAACCAGCAGGAGCAGGAAGAGATCCAAGTACAGCAGATCAAGTCTTCGGTGAGCCTTCCATTCCATGCATTTTCAGGCAGGACTGAACAGTTGCAGCAAGCTGCAACAGCACCTGCTAAAACATTACAAATTAACCATAGAGAGGAACCTGTTGCTACTAATTCCAAGTTAGACGTTATAACCCTGGACACTGATTCAGATGACGGGAAATCATTAAAAGGTGAGCTATCAATTGGAGAACAGGAAAATTCCTTTGCCATGCCGGTAGCTACTTCAAAGTTAGAAGATGTTATCTTACTGGACACTGATTCAGATCTTGAGGAATCAGTCAAAGATGACTCAGAAGCTGCTGACAATCCGCCTGAGTGTGGGGAAAACAAAATTGCAGGTTCTGCTGAGGAGATGGATGAAGGGGATGAGAACATGTCCCTGTCTGATCTTTCCTCTAGCTTCAAGAAGTGTTTCCATCCAATAAGTCAAAAGAGTAAGGCGCAGCTCGCTGAGAAAGCACAAGCACATGAAGGCCAGTTGAAAGTCCAGCCTTTTGACTACGAAGCAGCAAGGAAGCAAGTGTTATTTGGGGAAGATCCAGGTAAAAAAAAGCCGGAAACAGAAGGTGATGAGCATCGTAGGAGTAGGACTGGTAAAGGTGATAAGAAGAAGGATTTACTCTTAGGTCAGCCGCCAAATATTGAAGGGACAGCAGAGTTCCAGCAAGGTAGAAGGCGTCAAGCTTTTCCAGCTACTGGAAATCGAAGCTATACTTTCCGTTAGAATTTGAAAAACTTTATGAGCTCATAAGTGAAGTACTTCGTCTATGAAGCAGAGCAATCTCATCTTGCTTGCTTTTGGCAAAGTTTTGTCAGTACTTTTGGCTCTAGCGAAAGGAGGAGAAATCATTATTCAATGTTTATAGGATTAATGTAAAAATTTGGATTTAGTTTCAGTATTATTGTTAATTTGCATTTACTGTGTGGTGCAGTATTTTATAGAAGGTGTAGTGCCTTGTATACTATGCATCCCACTCCATGCTAAATTCTAGGTATGGAGAAATCGCCCTTAAGAAGGTATAAGGGATTTTATGAGCTATGTCGGCAATGATCAACCAGATGCTCTTGCAGGTTAATATACTAAGAAGTCAGTCTTTGAAAATATGATAGTACCCTTTCCATTTATTTAGAGAAAGACGGAGCTTATATTAAAAGGAATTTTTACATTCCTATACCACATAGGAAATTTTTTTACCCTACATATTTAAGGTTTGAGTAAAATACACTTAGTATACCAAATTACCAATTCTATACCATACTTAATTAAGGGTCTAATTAATGAGCTGTTTTTACTCCTTAATTAAAGGTATTCATATCTAATTAATGGGCAGTTTTTACTCCTTAATTAAAGCTATCCATATATGCCACGTTTCTCCCTCCTTACCCCTCACCCCCCACCCAAGTTGTTACCCATACCCCACATTCTTTTTACCATTTTATCTCTTCTGAAACCAAACAAAATTCCAATAGTTGCTCTGTCATGTTAATTAAATTCCAATAGTTAATTAAATTGAAATCAAGATGAATTGAAGCTTTTACTTTGATTCCTATTAGGGTTTTGGACGAAATGAGAACATGACAATAAATTAAGGGTACAAAGGAGAGGAGCAGGGAAATTAGGGCAGACTGCCTTACACTGACGAAGAAAGACAAGAAATTGAATTGTAGTTTTTTTGAAGAAATTTTGTAGATGAAGAGAAAATTTTGTAGTCAACATTTTTTTCAACATAAATTGTAGTTTAATTGTAGTATAAATATAGTAATTTTGTAGATACTCTTAAAAACAATACAACTTTATACAATACTTAAACTGATTTGTAGTTTATTTGTAGTTTTTTTGAAGAAATTTTGTAGATGAAGAGAAAATTTTGTAGTCAACATTTTTTTCCAACATAGATTGTAGTTTAATTGTAGAATAAATGTAGTAACTTTGTAGATACCCTTAAAAACAGTACAGCTTTATACAATATTAAAACTGATTTGTAGTTTTTTTGTAGAAATTTTGTATATGAGACCCATTTTTTAATGTACAATCAATTAATAGTAATTTTGTAGATACTCTTAAAAACAATACAACTTTATACAATACTTAAACTGATTTGTAGTTTTTTTTGAAGAAATTTTGTAGATGAAGAGAAAATTTTGTAGTCAACATTTTGTTTCAACATGGATTGTAGTTTAATTGTAGTATAAATGTAGTAACTTTGTAGATACCCTTAAAAACAGTACAACTTTATACAATACTAAAACTGATTTGTAGTTTACAAGGGCATAGTACTACGAAGCCACTAAACCAAAGATCTGGTAAAGATCCAAGGATAAGTAAAGAATAAGTATTCTGTAAATTTGATCACGGCAACGGCGCCAAAATTTGATCACGCCCAACTCTAGTCCTAAAAAGGATAACGGTCGCTGAAATATAATCCGGTCTAAAAGTCCGAGTCAAAAATTTTTTAAAGAATCCCACAGAGAACTAAGGTTTCGCTGTATCTGTTTAATATCACCAAGAAGACAAGATTGAAAATAAATAAACAGCTGAAAACTAACTATGCTTGAATTGTAAACAATTAGAATAAAGGTCTAAGGTAATGGTTTCCCCCGTTGTTGATTTTCTTGGTTGTATGTTTCTTATAGCGTTGACTTAGTTACCTCTATCAATCATGAACTCTCCAGCTATCATAAATCTCTCTCAAGCAATTATGATAATTTACTAGACGCACTCTCTCAAGCTACGCTAGCTAGATTCACATTACAGTTCACTTAGATTGCACCCGAGGTATCGTTATCTCTAATCCAACCTCTAAACCCTCGGATATGACTCTCGTCTATACTCCGGGAGTGATGTTGTTCAAACAACTACCTAAAATATGAACTCTCTCTCAAGCAGATACATACTAAATAGGAACGACTAATTGCGGATCCTTTCAATTAACCACAATCAAAACATAGTTGAACAAATGGAGATTAAACTAATTCAAATCTGATAAGAATGGACCTTGGGCCTAACTCAACCCCAAAAGCTAGCTTATGAGGTGAGGATTGCCCAAGCCATATAAGGAGACTAAGGACCTCAAATCCTTCCGATGTGGGACAACTCAACACCCCCCTCACGCCCAGACCTCTGGAGCGTGGACAACATAAATGGGGGCCCAACATCGGTAGCAATAATTGGGATGGGCCTGGCTCTGATACCATGATAAGAATGGACCTTGGACCTAACTCAACCCCAAAAGCTAGCTTATGAGGTGAGGATTGCCCAAGCCATATAAGGAGACTAAGGACCTCAAATCCTTCCGATGTGGGACAACTCAACAAAATCTATATTAATATAACAACCAATTCATCCCCAACGGGTTTCACCAAAACCTTATATTAGAAAAGTTATCTACTCATGAAAATAACAAAAATCACAAAAGAATTCATATTCTAGGGTAAAAGAACAAAGAAGAAGATTAAAGATTGATGCCCAATGATCCTCCTTGCTTCTTGCCCTTCCTTCTGATGTTTTTCACTTCCAAAAATCATTCTCTCTCGCTCTTGGCCGGCCTCCCTCGTTTAATATTGGGTTTAGGGCTTAAAATCCCGTATTTTGCACTTTAGTCCATGAAATTTACGTGTCCTGCCGCCGTCCCACTGCGGTTACGCCAGGACCGCGGCCAGAATGGCCTTCAGAATCTGCAGCAGTGTTCTGCCGCGGTCCTACCGTAACCGCGATTTTTCACCCTGTTCCGCTTGGAATTTGGGAAAACGTAAAACATGAAAGTTGTAGCCCTTTGAGTTAGCTTTCCAACCATATATTGTGGAGCCCAACTGAAGTTCTGAGAAAAAAGTTATGTGTATTTTACTAGACAGTGCGCAATATGGCTACTCGAGTCTTCGTTTGTTCTCAACTATCAAATTTGACCCCGAACACGATCCCGGCTTAATTCCTTGAGCTTTTACTCAGACTTCAAAGCTTCAAATCACTTAAATTCATTCCATAACATCTATATAGCTCGAAATCACACCTACAAGGCATAAAACACACAATTAGTGCAAAACACTAGCGATTAAAGCGCAAACTCAATTAAAGTACAGTAAATTAGAGTGTAATAAGCGACTGAAATACGCAATTATAGCCTATAATCAACACCCCACACTTAAACCATTGCTCGTCCTCGAGCAATCAAACTACACTTTTTTTTATAGACACGACCTTTTTAAACAATTCTCCTAACTCATCACACCAAGAGTATTTATAATAGACTAAGCATAAAAGTGTAACATCTTCACCTCAAGATTTGACTCACAAGTACCACGCATTATTCACAACTCACCTACTTACTCTAACATAGAGGTCACTGACATTACCTTTACTTCATGAATCAAGTGCCCTCACACAACAAAAGAGAGTAGTTCCACACAATAAATTTAAGAATACTTAGGAACTCAAGATAGAAAGAATTCACTCACTCTCAAAAATAACATTCATATGCCACAAAAGATGCACCATAAGCTTGCCCGTAGTGTACTACTCCACTAATCGAGCTCATTCAATCTTGGATCAATTAGGACTTTATTTGGTTGTAATGTAGGCTACGGGACGGGTAGGATACATTTAGATATAAGAGTGACTACACCTCCTTAAGTACTTTAATACATANTTACACTGGTAGGGGCATACCATAGTGCGTAATATTATCTAGACCAAATATATAGATAGACACTGAAACTTGGCAGCACTTTTCATTTTGATACTTAAAGTTAGCCTATTTGCTATTGGACACTGGAACCCATCTCAAGTTGTACCAAATACACAGAAAACGACGACATAACAAAAAAAGTGTTTCTCACTCTCCTTAAGCGCGTGAATGAATAAAAAATAATAATTTTTTTAGTTCCCTTAAAATTTTCAAATTTCTCTCTCCATTGTTGCCACCATCCTCCCGCCATTGCCCACACTGCCGGTCGCTGCCGCTGCCGCAATCTTTTTTTTTTCTTCCAGATCTGACCATCGCCACCATAGGCAATCAGACTCAAATTTCTACCTTAAATTAATCAAGTTCTTCAATCTTTTATATTCACCCATTTTCTTCTTCTTCTTCTTCTCTTGAAATTCTCTCAAAGTCTGGTATATAAAAATTGGGGAAAGGGATATGGAATAATGAAGGGGGAAAAGGAATATGAAATTTGTGAATAACCGAAAAGGGGTGAGAGTGGAAGTGGGAAAGGTCCTGCAAGAAGACTAAGAAGAGAGGGCACGAGTGACATCGACAATGAGATTGGAGACGCAGGGGTGGGGGAGACCACGGCAGGTTGGGGATGAAGGGGCTATTTTTTTTCTTTTCTAAAAAAAGTTTTTGTTGGTCAAAGCCGCACGTTTTTTTAATTGGACTAATTTGCCATATCATGCGTGTGTAATCCACACAAGATATCCTTTTGGCTGGTTTGTACTTTTGTGTTTAATTGGCACTGTTTGAAATGCGTTCTAGTGTCTAACAGTAAATAGGTTAACTTTAAGTGTTAAAAAAAAAGTGCTGCCAAGCTTTGGTACATGTCTATATATTTGGCCTATTATCGTGCTTGACTTCTTGAGAGCTTCATTTGAAAAAAAAATGTGCCACTTGTTCTTGCCTAAAGTTATGCCTGATTATCGGCTGCACCTGGCATAACAACCACCTGCAATCAGTAATAATATTAGTGTTAGCTGGATATCCAATTCTTGGGTATTTAATTTCCTCATATCAAACAAAACCTCGTTCTAAAAGCTTCGCACACTGCCGATGATGTAAGGAACACCCAGAAATTCTTAGCTACTCATCAGATCAACAAGTCATGAAGCTCTCTCTCGTCCGACAGGAACCAAAGACAAGTCCTAAGCCGACCTCCGATATTATCTTCCATACATACTGTAATCAAATACGATAGCAGTCACTTTGGCCCAA